TGTATGTATGTATTTATACATGTATGAGTATATATAATTAATTAATCCCTTCATTTTCTAAGCCCCTTTTATACACATTAAAATACACAACCAAAACACAGTAATGTACAAAAGTCTTAGGCAGCCAAGATTAATGTTCTATAATGTTCTATGTAACTATTTATCCTGTCAGTAAGTTTTTCCCTAACTTACCTTTACAAAAAACAATAAATAATGAATGTAAAAATACAGTAAAACACAACAATTATGAATTAAGTTGTTTATTTATTTATTTATTTGTTTGTTTATTTATTTATTTTAGTCACTATCTTGATTACAGGAACATAGAAGAAGGCAGGTTTGGTTCCTGTCTTCTCAGTGAACTCCAGCCACTGTGTGGCTTTGTTGAATTCCATCAGCTGCACACCTGATTTAATTTAATGAAGAAACAATAAGCTAAACTTGGTATTGGACGTTAACTGTAAATCGTATGCTTCCTTGAGGTTTGGGAATAGTATTGTTTACTTGTTTGTTTGTCTAATGTTCTAATGTTAGTGGGGCTTTTCTGAACAGATAAGGCTTATGGCAGTGTTTAATGCTACCTAGTTAAATAGTCAAGTTTATTCAATAGTATCAAACTATGTTGAGTAAATGTAAACACCTACATTTGTATTACTTGCATTTTTTGCTTTGTAGGTACTTTGTCAACTGGTTGTGCCTTTTCTTAAATCTCACCTGGTATATTCAAAATACACAGACCAGCTATAAGTAAATAGAAATAGTATGAACCTCAAACAACCAGCAAAGAATCCAGCGCTGACATGTGTTGTGCAAACTGGTTTGCATTTAAAAGCAGAGGCTTCTGTCAACTCTGTCAGACGACACCTTCAGTTTAAAACACTTTTGTTAAACTCCTATTTCCTGGACACTCACTGAGTTGTTTGTGGAGATGCTTTTGAAATTGTAATGCCTTCAGTAGTAATCTCACTACGCTGGTTTAGGCCTGAGTTTCCCAACGACAGGGGATCCTCCCTGTGTAGAAATGGCAGCTGTGTTTCTCCTGCTTTCTAACAGGACTAATCCAGGTCTCTAAACTGTGAGCGAGATGTAGTGAAGGAAATTCTACAAATCTCCTTTAAAATGCCTCCTGACTTCTGGGGGAGAGTAAGGACTGCTACCAAAGTGCACCTCCAAACTGACATGTTGAAAAATAATCTCTTCCAAGGGCCGTAAATAGACGGCACAGAAGGGACCAACCAGTGGACGCTTTGCTCTCAAATGTTTTACAGTATTTTTAGTCTGAATTAAATAAAGTAGTGGTGGCAAATAGTCACCTATTAATTTAGTACCTGATGACATACAATGTACATTTAGCGAAGCTATGAAGACGACATTAAAATCAAATGTAACTTAAACACAAACTAGCAGTTAACCAGCCGGTTTCATAGTAAATTAACTGTAAATGATAGGGTTAGACACATTTAGCTACTTGTATATCTGTTCACAGTATTATTTTGCAATAAATGTTTGCATAGAAGTGTCAACAATTGTATGATAAGCATCAAAGAATGTGTTATTTTTGACTCCTAGACCTTATAACCCTCTCTGGTTTTCACAGGGCTCAGTCCTTTGAATAGGACTGGGAAGAAAGGACCTCAAATGTTTGTAGTCTATTACTGTACTTAAATATTATTTTCGATTAATAGTGCTTCACTCAAGTACTATTGAAATCAAACATTTTTATTATTATTGGAATGCATTTCCAATGTAATTACATAAAAACATACATTATACATCTATATATATTATAATTTGGATTTTCAAAGTAGAAAATATTCTCTTTTTCTAAAAATCATAAAAATCAGTTGAGTTCCAGTACATTTCATTTGATTTTTTTTATTAATACAATTAAACCCCTAGATAATATCATGTGTAAACTCCCACAACTCCACTAATTCATCTTTGTTAAAGGACCTAGCGCATGTTCGCTGCTACATCACACACTACCATATAAGACTAATTATATTTACTAACATTGTTACTCTTATACTTTCATATATACATTTAAACATACTTTTGCAGATAATTTCTGACTTTCACTCAAGCATATTTTTGACACAGTACCCATACCTTCACTTAAGTATTTGCTTCTCTGTACTTTTTCCAGTCCAGGTAGGCAATAGGGATTAGGGAGTAGGGAATAGGGCAGGGATATTAAACTCTGGTGCTGGAGGGCTGGTGTCCAGCACAATTTGGTGATTTATCTGCTCAAACACACCTAATAAACCCAGAAATTAACAGGTGGGATGGACCAGTTGTGTCTCAGTAGGGAACCTATCTGTGCTGGACACCCTGAATACCCCCGGAAGAGGGCTCAGGCCAGAAGTGCCCAATTTGACAACATTTTAAACCACATATTTCTACACTATATACTCAGGGTTAGGATGTAACAGAATACAAGTATTTGGAACATGTATTCAAATACAGAAATGAAGTATGTGTATTCAATCCAAGTTACAAGGCAGTATTGAGAACAGTTACTTCTTACATTTTTAGGAGAATAATTTCAGAATATTTTATCCAATAAACATGTAATCTTCAAAAGAAACACCAACGTGTGTTTAACTATTTTTGTATCAGTGCATGGCAAAAGGCAAACATGCTTGTTAGACGAACTCTAAAGAGGAACTCAATTAACAGCTTCTTTACAAACACTGAAGTTCTTACTAAAGCCTGAGTAGACATATAAATCAAAGTGATGAGCTAATTATTAATCTTAGCATTTCTGAGCTCTGTTGAGAGGCAATCAAACTAATTATCGTCTTAGTAGTGGACATGTTTGCGAGTAAGAGGTTTTACATTGACATTGTACTGGACTCCTCAGGGGATTGTGGGAGTGGCAGTGGACTGAAGCAGGTCGTGAGAGTTCATTTCATTTAAAGTGAATTTTTTCATGAAATGTGTTAACCGAATAATTACATTAAGAAAACTGCTAACGAGGAACAGCGAGGAACAGCGTGGATTAAGAAAATAAGTTTTTCCTATCTGCCTTACCAAGATTCCAGATAGCAAGCATATATCGGTCCGCTGGCTTGATAAGGTCAGCACCCTGCTGACTGTTTGCCGCTGCTGGTCCACCCTCGGACCACCCAGGTTACTGTCCTGCATACAAACTTTATCTACTTTTTAATCTCCTCAAACAGATTTTAAATGCACAGAGACTTTTATTTTAGAAAATAAAATAAAAAACTTTTTACAAATAAAATATTACAAACAACTGAGAGAAAAAAAATAATGACTAGGCCTGATGTAAAATGATCTTATAGAAAATGCTGCTGACACTGTGCTGGATTAAAATTATTTACTAAACTAATGCACAGTGTGTAACTAAAGAAAGGAAGGAAGGAAAAATCAGTAAATTGGACTGTAAATGGAAAATGAGCGATGATAAGTGGAATTTTGTCTATTACTCTGCATAACCACCGGTGGTCCGCCCATAAAACGCTGAGCAAAACGCCAGTGGACCGCCAGCTTTGCCATTAGCGGGCCGACAGTGGGCCTCTATCCTCTTGCTATCAGTGATGTATTGTAAATGCATTGCAAATGTATTCTGAATACGTTACTTTTTTATGCAATGTAATGGCATATTACTCAATACATTTATGACGGTGTATTGAGTATTGAGCCATCAGTACAACTCCGTACATACTACACTAATGAACAGTGGTGGACAGTAACGAAGTAAATGTAATTCGTTGCTGTACTTAAACTGTGTATCCGTATTTTACTGAAGTTTTTCCATTTTGGGCGACTTTTTACTTTCACTCCACTACATTTCAAAGTCAAATATCTCACTTTTTACTCCACGACATTATGAGAAATCTGTCCTTCCTTTTGGTTTATGTGTGTATAAAAACGTAACATGTGAAAACGAAAGAAGCGTGAAGGAAGAACACCAATCAGGGAACAGCGCGCACTTTGTTTTGAGCTTGTTTTGACCTGTTGGTCATACCGACCCAGTGCAGCACATGGTTCAACATCAGTGCAGCAGCGTAAAATTTTGGGAGAGTCTATTCAACATAAATGATGAACTAACCTAACTCCGTGTAAATAGACCACAATATAGAAATATGTACACATATGCAGTTGTGACTGACGTGTCTTTATTCTGAATTTATACAAACACTATTTCACTTAATAGTAAATTTGTTTTGGCTAGTTTATGTTTATGAACAGAGACCTACAGATGCAGTTTAGTAAAGGAAACTCATTTGTGAATCTGAGTTTAAAGTTTTTATTAAACTTAAACTTGTAACTAATCTGCAAATAAATCTGAAACTGAAACTTTGCTTGTTTGTAAAAGGTTCTTTCAGAGCCACTCAGTTCTACCTGATGGAAACTGTTTGCCTTCAGTGTTTTGTGCTTATGATAATTTTAATAGACATCAGCGTCACTAATTAATGACATTCTATTAAAAGACTGGTTTACCAAGAGAGACACTGGAGTATTTTCACCTAAAATGAGTTAATGAAGCAGTCTGGTTACAGAAATGATAATAGGACATTAAAGCCATAATTCATCTTTTAGTACTTTCACTTTTGATACTTAAGTACATTTGAAGGCAAATACGTTTGTACTTTTACTCAAGTGGAGGTCTAAAGGAAGGAACTTCTACTTTTACTGCAGTAATATTTTATCTTGGTGTATCTCTACTTTAACTCAAGTACATGGTTTGTGTACTTCGTCCACCACTGCTAATGAATGTTGATGCCAATGGTGGTGTGCTACTTTAGAGAGACTATTTAGAGACGCAGCCTGAGACCAACTGATAAAACAAGCTTCTCTTCGTTTACATGAAAACTGAATGAACTGAATGAAGACTGGAGACCTGTGGCTGAGGCACAATGGCCTTCCAGACGTGACGGACTACAAATCCCAGAGAACCCAGCCTCTCAAACGGCGGAAACAGAATCATCAGTTGCACTCGAACCAATGGGATTGTGCAAAGCGTCCTTAGCTGACGTCCCCTCCGGTCAGTTCCGCCGCCGGTAGGAGTGAGGCTCGGAGCCGTGGCCCCTTTCGCCCTGATACACCGTTCAGCTCTTTTAGCGTTGCTTTTAAAACGTGCACCATGACGTTTGATGTACGGAGGTGAGTAGAAAAGTGAGACTGAGGTGTTGTTTGTGTGCCGGGTTGCCAACTGAGACACGAACCGTTAAAGCTGGGCTTACAGCAGCTCTGCACTGAGCCACTGTAGGTTATCTGTTACCGCTCACAACCAAAACAGCCACTTCAAAAGGTTTCTTTGCGCTATTTAGTACTTATTTAATAGGAACCGACCTGCTTCTGACTGATACCCGGACTGTTCAGTGAGGTGCTGAACTGAGCTGCAGTGAAACGAGGCTGAAGTCGACTTCTTGTCCGAATTGTCCCGGTCCACCTTAAATGGTGCAGCAGTTACATTCTGGCGCCTCAGATGCCTGAATGTGACTGCTGGACCATTTAAGGTGGACCGGGAGAATTCGAACAAGAAGCTGGAGAAAGGGAAGCCAACTTCAGCCTCATTGGTGAAGCTGAACTGTGTTAATTAATCAGTTTCTTTTGGATGATCTTTAATTGGTAAGCCAGCCTGTCAGCCAGCTCTCAGCATCTACAGGTATGGACCAGACTTACGGACTAAAGTTCAAACAACATGATAATCCAAGGTTGAAAATCTTCATTCCTGTCCACACTAAGCTTGACCTGGGTCAGGGAAACCTCTCCGTGTGTTCTCCAGGTCATGGTGCAATGTTTGTTTTGCACAGGGCTGTGCCCAGTCATTCACTGGCCTTCTCTATTAGACTTAGGTGTAGGCCAGATTGTGGCTGTTCTTGTGCACACGTGCAGTTCTTTGCATAGTCCTGATCTTGAAGGGGAATTCCACCAATTGTTCAAAAATTCATTCATTTAGAGCGGTTTGATGTGAAATAGTTCACTGTAGAGAAACGTATCAACTCAGTATAATGATTTTACCCAGTGGTGGACGAAGTACACAAATCATGTAGTTAAAGTAGAGATACACCAAGGTAAAATATTACTCCAGTAAAAGTAGAAGTTCCTCCCTTTAGACCTCCACTTGAGTAAAAGTACAAAAGTATTTGCCTTCAAATGTACTTAAGTATCAAAAGTAAAAGTACTAAAAGATTAATTATGGTTCTAATGTCCTGTTATCATTTTTGTAAGAAGACTCGCATTATTAACTCATTTTAGGTGAAAATACTCCAGTGTCTCTCTTGGTAAACCAGTCTTTTAATAGAATGTCATTAATTAGTGACGCTGATGTCTATTAAAATTATCATAAGCACAAAACACTGAAGGCAAACAGTTTCCATCAGGTAGAACTGAGTGGCTCTGAAATCACTTTTTCAATAACTTCAAACAAGTAAAGTTTCAGTTTCAGATTTATTTGCAACTTAGTTACAAGTTTAAATTTAATAAGAACTTTAAACTCAGGTTCACAAATGAGTTTCCTTTACTAAACTGCATCTGTAGGTCTCTGTTCATAAACATAAACTAGCAAAAACAAATTTACTATAAAATGAAATGTGTTTGTATAAATTCAGAATAAAGACACGTCAGTCACAACTGCATATGTGTACATATTTCTATATTGTGGTCTATTTACACAAAGTTAGGTTAGTTCATCATTTATGTTGAATAGACTCTCCTAAAATTTTACACTGCTGCACTGATGTTGAACCGTGTGCTGCACTGGGTCAGTATGACCAACAGGTCAAAACAAGCTGTTCCGCTGTGCCCTGATTGGTCTTCTTCCTTCGCGCTTCTTTGGTTTTGACATGTTACGTTTTTATACACACGTAAACCAAAAGGAAGGACAGATTTCTCATAATGTCGTGGAGTAAAAAGTGAGATATTTGACTTTGAAATGTAGTGGAGTGAAAGTAAAAAGTTGCCCAAAATGGAAAAACTTCAGTAAAGTACAGATACACGAAAAAATACTAAAGTACAGAAACGAATTACATTTACTTCATTACTGTCCACCACTGGATTTTATTTACTATCCATAACTACCGTTAAACCTACACAGGTGTTCTGAGTTTTTACAAGGTAAAAATTGTTAAATCTGAATAAGTAATTTTTCTTTAAGTGCTATTTTGGCCTACAGCGCCTGTATTTGTCTGTCCATTGTGGATGGATTTGTGCATTTTAAGCCCAAAGCTTATGCAAACATATCATAAAACAGTGTCTCAGCCGTCGGGCAGTGTATTCATAACGGTTTTCAATGTAATGACTTTGCAGAGTGAGCTTTTTGCCTTTAATTTGAATTAAATGCTTCAGACGTCTGGTTCCCAGCAATACCTCTGTGCACAGTTCAGGCTCAGTAAGTTTCCCTAGAATGGAGTGTTTCACATCAAACCACTCTGCATGATTTTGTTCATGTCTTAACCATTTAACTATGCAGAAATTTCGACAAATCAGTGGAATTCCCCACTGGATCCAACAGCAGCCGGAACCCTTTGATGCTTTTGTACAGAAATATACAGAACACACCTGGGGCTTAATCTGCACGGTCAGTAAAAGACTGCACTACAGGGCAAACTGGACTCTGACTGTCTCTATTGAAATATGTACACATTATGAGGACGTGCAGTCAGTAGACTAGATCAGGGGTGTCCAGTCGTATCCGCAAACGTCCGTTGCGGCTGCAGGTTTTCACTCGAACAGAGCAGGAAGTCACCTGATGACATGTTTGAAGATCAAGACCAACTGATTAAACAAGTGAAGTCAGGTGTGCTCCAGAAAACCTGCAGCCACACCGGCCCTTTGTGGATAAGACTGGACACTCCTGGACGTGATGTTTTACATATTCATTTTGATTTATTGCAGTTCTTTCACATACCTGCAATCAGAGGGTTAAAATATTTAACCTTTTTAACACTTTATCATATTCTTTACTTCATAACTTTCATATTTCATAAGCTACATTCTAAAGGTGGGGGTCATATGAGAGCTGTAACTGTCTTCTTTCCAGTCAAATAGATGAGTGATATAATTTTCCACCCTCACAATAAAAGAAGATGAACTCACAATTTTTTTTTCTACTGAAATTCGACCCATTTTTCCACAAATCTGAGCTATAAACTATAAACAGATGGCATCTCTTCAGTGATCTGCTCTGTAAAAATTATATTAATTAAAAAATGAGTGTGTAAGATTTTTGGCTTTCAGCAGTAAATTGTAAGTATATAGCAATATGTGTGATCATAAACACATTTTCTGTTCGTTTGAGGGGAACTTTTACAAAAAAAACCCAAACATTTACATTTATTTCATGCAGTTGCTGAATAATTTGCCTTACGATTTGGGCCTTTAAATTCAGATAGAAAAACCAAAATATACCCACAAGCATAAGAGGTTAAAGCTTGAATTGCGGAGAGTCAACCAATTATCTAAAAGAGCAAAAGATTGCACCTTATGGACCCAAATGATCTTTCGTTTACGCTGTATCACTACCTTCGTAAGCTGTCTTCATACGCTTTATAAGCATCTCCATGAACAACCTAATAAGGTCTGTCTAATATCTATAATAATGAGAGCATCAAAAGCATGCAGACAATACAAAATAGTGAATTTTGTCAAAACCCTGAGAGTTTTAATGCTGTGCCGCGGTGTATTACATGACATATTTAAATGGTAGATTTTGTTCCTGAATGGCCCTTTATGCATGTTGCAAACTAAGGTGTCATATTATGTCCAAACTTTAAGACACTGACTGTGTCCAAAACCACATACTACCATACTAAATAGTGTGTCAAAATGGTACTCAACCATTAGTAGTGCATTGAGTAGTGTAGTGTGCAGTTTTGAACACAGCCAGTGTCCTAGGTGTCCTTAATACATAAGGCAATCACATAATGCAATTCTGGGTAAACTCAATGTAAGACAATATGGAAAGCAGCAAAATAATATTGAAAGAATGTAGTGTGTGTGTGTGTGTGTCTGTGTGTGTGTGTGTGTGTGTATGTGTGTGTGTATGTGTGTGTGTATGTGTGTGTGTATGTCTGTGTGTGTATGTCTGTGTGTGTATGTCTGTGTGTGTGTGTCTGTGTGTGTCTGTGTATGTCTGTGTGTGTGTGTGTGTCTGTGTATGTCTGTGTGTGTGTGTGTCTGTGTGTGTGTTTTAATCTAACTAAAAAATATGAATTATTTTATAATTGAATAAATACATTTAACTATACCAAAAAATTTCACACACATTTATTTATGAATGGTTATTGTTATGGTCACATACATACATACATAAATCATCTAAACCGCTTCTCCTTCTGGGTCGCGGGGGGGTGCTGGAGCCTATCCCAGCTGTCATTGGGCAGAAGGCAGGATACACCCTGGACAGGTCGCCAGTCCATCGCAGGGCATATGGTCACAAATGTTGTTGTTATTATTATTATTATTATTATTATTATTATTATTATTTCGCTGTTGTCAGAAGAAAACCTAATATCTCCAAAATGGTAACTTTACAGGAGAAGGAAAAAAAACTACTTTTAATGTAAGTCAATGGAACCAGACTTATTTCCAAGTTATTTTGGGCCGTTTCTTTTGGTCCATTTCTCATGAAATTTACCCTCAGTGTAAAGAGTAACTGGCATTTTCAAATTCTGTCAAAAGCGATATGTTTTATTTTTATAGCACTTTGCCAAAGCTCAGTGTTGCTTTGCAGAATCAGAAACAAGACAGACAATGAATCATCAGAATATTACAAATCAATTCAAAAGAAAAAAAGGCAAGAATGGGAAAAATAGAACAAACCCCAAAAAACAAAAGCAAATAAACAAAAACAAACATGAACAGGACAAAACAGGACAGAATGGGAGGACAGGTTTTAGAGTTTTAAAAGGAGATGGATGACCAATCACACATGTATTTGGGTCAGGAGTTTCAGAGCTTAGGGGTCATGGCACTAAAAGACCCACTACTAGAGAGAGAGAAGCTAACGGCTAACGAGGACTGTGGAGCGTGGGCTAGACTATGCAAATGTACATAATGGTGCATCAAAGCTTATCGTAGATTAGCATCCTTAAGAGCTTTAACTCCTCAGGCTGTCGCTTCAAACGGCCAGTTAGCTATTTAACACGTTCAGCGTTTAT